TTTTTTCTTTTTTTTTTTGTCTTTTTGAGGCAGGATCTCGCTGTGCAGTTCAGGCTGGCCTTGAGCTCACTTTGTAGCTCAGGTTGGTCTCAAACTCACGACGATCCTCCTACCTCAGCCTCCTGAGTGCTGGGATTACAGGTGTGGGCCACCACACCCGGCTGTCCTAGGCTTTCTACGTATAGATTTAACACAGGCATTTGATCATGGATATATTTTGTAAGATGTACCACTTGAGTTTTTTTCCCAAACGAAACAGAATATTACCAAGATCCTTGACACCTAGTAGTGATTTTTCATAACCACTTAAAAAAGTCTGCTGTAGTTTTCATTTAATGATAAAATGATGTTATATATAAGAAAGCATCCCATTGATCTTTCTTTGTGTGGTACCTAATTGTGTGGTACCATTTGTTCTGTAGGTACCTAAGACACTGGGACTACTGAGGATATTAAGTGTCAAGCTTTATAGCCACCAGGGCCAAGAACAGGTAATACAAATCTGCTTAACCTCATGTCCTCAGACATTGTCACCAGATCCCTGTATGATTAGATCTGCATGTGTTTTAGATCTTCACTGGGGTGTATTCGTAACCATGCATAATGTATGTGCACTAGTAAGCATCCATAGGGCTGTTTACTCAGAATTTGTGAATGTTAGTATCTATCAATCTTTTTTGTTTGGTTTTGTTTTTGAGACAGGGTCTGTCTATGTAGTTCAGGCTGGCTTTGAACTCACTTATGTAGCCCAGGCTGACATCAAACTCAGAGTGATCCTCCTGCCTCAGCCCCCTGAGTGCTGGGATTACAGGTGTGTGGCACTACACCTGGCAGTATCTATCAGTCTTAACTCAGAAAATACAAAGAAAAAATATAACAAATACACCTATTCCTCTTGGGGTCTGAAGATACAGCCTGAAGAGTTCTAGAAGCATCATGTAACATTTTTATTTTATCTTTAAAAAAACTTACAAAGTTTTCATCCTTATTCAAATTTTTGTTTGATGTAAAATTAAAAAAAAAAATTCTTCCCCAAATGTGAGATTGTGGGTGCTCAGGAGGAAGGGAGCCCTGTAGACCCGGGCTTCAGGTGCCCTTGTCTTTCTGCTATGTGACCGAGCCAGGGAGGCGGCAGCTCCCTTCAGCTCCCGTGACAGGTGTAGGGCGCCTCTTCGAGAGCGCTCTTGCTTGCTCCAGGCATCTGGAATGACCCAGGGGAACTGCATCACGTTCCCGTCTTTGGCAGAACCCCGTGGCTGTTTCTCTGTCAGTACGGTCTGTACTGAGCTGATGGGAGACCGCAGTGAGCGTGATGCTGCTGGGCTCACCTGCAGCTCTTACGCTCTAAATATTCAACTTCTGGCATATTTTACCTTCTGAGGAGTACTAATCAGAATTATTTATATTATTTTGTAAAAGATACTGGCTTGGAAACTTTTTTTTAGACAGGGTCTCGCTATGTCGAGGCTGGCTTTGAACTCGCAGTGATCCTGCCTCAGCCTCCTAAGTGCTGAAATCACAGATATGGTGGGCTACCATGCCCAGCTGGCTTGGAATTTTTGAATTTTTTTTTTCTTTTCTTCATATTTTTATGGTGTTTTTGTCTCAGATTATTAACTAGGCTTTTGAGGATGACTGGTTTTTTTTTGGTCTTTTTGAGACAGGGTCTTGCTATGCAGTTCAGGCTGGCCTTGAGCTCGCTTTGTGGCCCAGGCTGTTCTCAAACTCGCAACAATCCTCCTGCCTCAGCCTCCTGCATGCTGGGATTACAGGGATGCACCACCATGCCTGGCTTCGAAGATGACTTTTTCTTAATTTGAAGGGTACCTTTTCTTTTTTTGTGATGGTGGGAATTGAACCCAGACCCTTTGCACTGAGCAACATCCCAACCCTTTTTTATTCTGAGGGAAGATCTTGCTAAGTTGCACAGGCCAGACTGGAACTTGGTGATTTTCCCACCTCAGCCTCCCAGAGTACTGGGTTACAGTTGTGCACCATCATGCCTGGCCTCGTCTTTTTTTTTTTTTGCTAAAATTCCAACTTGCAGTGGGCTATGGTGCCTACTGAACTCTGAGAAGCCGGGATATGTGTGTGTCCACTGCTGATTCCTGAGCATGTGAAACAGTGTCTGTTGTGCATTGTTTATTAGTGTATAAGTAGTATTCATTAAATGCTTGAGAGGTGTTGGAAGAGCTGCACTTATAAAATTACTTTGTATTGATCTGAAGGTTCTTTAATAATATGTCGTAATTCAGGATGTTTTGAATATATACACTAGAATTTGTTACTTTCATTTTAATATGGCTTGTATATTTGGAAGATACAGAAAATAGGAGATTACTCATTGTAATTATTTCATAGAGATGGTAGGTAATTAAAGAAAGTGAAGCAATTTAAGCTAATCTCATACAAAGGATTTGACATGTAACATTAAAAACCCTCTCACAGAAAGTACGGATAGAAATTTTATAATGATATTTGAAAGAAGGTACAATTCCAACTCTAAATATTGCTGCCAATAGGAGACTTTAATTAGTGTTTTTAATTAAGAGAAGATCTTTTGGACATTTGAGCTAGTGGTTTAATATAAGGAGGAAGATACAGGAAATCCCATTAAGCAAACATGTGGTTTAATGACTTTTTGGAGAGCAGCTTTATTGAAATATTCACATAGAGTACAGTTCACTTGTTTGAAGTACACTCTTCACTGGTTTCTTTTTTTGTTTTGTTTTGTTTTTTTTCCGGGACCAGGAATCAAACTCATGACCTTGCGCTTGCCAGGCAGTCACTGTGCTGCTAAGCTAAATCGCCAGCCCCTTCACTGGTTTCTAGTATACTCACAGAATTGTACAACCATCCCAACAAACAATTTCGGTTACAACTTTGTCACTCTGAAAAAGACAGTGTACCCCTTAACCATCCCTAGGAATTCACAGTCTAATAAAGAACAACCCTACTGTGAAGTAGTATTTTTGTTTTAGTGTTACGTGTAAATTATGACCCTATAAATTAGACAATAAACTCTTCAAGTTGAGGACTCCTGTACGTGTGTATGGAGCACATTCACAGTGACGGGGGCATGGAACGCTGGTTAAGCCTGCTTGTAACACAGCACCCTCTGGAGTGCCAGTAACTCTGGGGTTGTTTCTGCTTGTTTGCAAGCCGTGCTCTGACCTTGTGGTTCTCGAACAGGATGGGATTTTCAAGATGAGCCTCTCTCCGGATGGGAGCCTGCTTGCAGCCATCCACTTCTCGGGGAAGCTGAGCATCTGGGCCGTGCCGTCTCTGAGGCAGCTGCATGCATGGGAGCAGAGTGAGCAGGTGGGTCCCACCTGGGTGTGATGCTGCATCCTGTGACTCAGGACCTTGTAGTGTTGGTGGATAGGACAGTAGAACGATGAATGTATGCACCCTGAGTATAGTTCTGAGTTTTAGTGCTGCACATCCTGTGTACCAAGTGTAATCTGTTCGTGGCACACGCTCCTTTTCCTGTTTGACACTATAAACGTGCATCATGGAGGTGTGAAAACCGCAGCAAAGTCAGTGTTATCAGGAGTTTGGAGGGTCAGGCACTGAAAGGTTGCAGTTCTTTCCAAATCTTGCCGCACTAATGATATGCTTATTTTAGGCTTGAAGAGTGTTATCCCCTTGTTGTGCCATGGTGACGGGCCACGGATGTTCCTTAGTGTTTTGGAATGACAGGGTTGTGGGAACACGTGATTTTGTTGTTTAGTAACAGGGAGAATCCATCCCTCTTGTGGCTTTAATTTACAAGGGGACCGGAAGGGCTTTTCATACCAAGCCATGCAGTGTGCATAGAGTAAAGTTTAAAGAAAAGTTTTCCCTCCACTTGGTGGAGCTGGTGGTGCCCGTCTTTTTCTGACTGATGACTAGGCCATATTTGCGTAGTTGAAGATGAGTTCTCTCCCCTCAGCCTGCTTCTCTGTGTGCAGATGTGGCTTGGTGGGCAACTTTGTGATCTAGTATGGACCCAGGCTTCCTGAATGCCTGTAATGGGTTGGCGCTGTAATAAAGAGAAATATTATTAAGCAAATGGTAGAAGACTGGAGAAAATGGCTGTACATTTTCTGACCCTATTCATATGTTTAAATTGATTCCTCAGGTATTGTTATTCTTTTTCATATTTTCATAAAATCTCTTTTGGGAGATTTTCCCATTTTAGTTACCTTTCTCATTGCCAAAACAGAATGTCCAACAGCCTAGGTTAAAGGAGGAGGGATTTATTTCAGCTCACGGTTTGTAGAGGAGTCAGTTCGGAGTCAGTTCATAGTCAGCTGTCTCTAAGGCAGATATAGGGGCATTGCAGAGGAGAAACAGTCCATGGTGTGGCAGGGCAGGCAGAAGGCAGTAAGCAGAAGCAGCAAGCAGACCTGCCTTCTTTCTGTCCCTTTTATTCCAGCCAGGCTACAGACCTTTTGACTGGTGCCACCCACACCAACGGTGGGGCACCCTTAATCCCAGCATCACACCCTTAATCCACATTCCCAGACTCTAAGCCAATCACCTTTGAAATTCCCCACCTATGACCACATGATGTTTTGGGAGGACATCTAGATAAAAGCCTTATTCAGTTTGCCATGGACTCCCCATGTCTATACCTCTGTCACTCACTGGACCTTGGTTTAAGTGGAAAATGTGATCCCAGGCCTGGAGCCTTGTTGGCCACAAACAAGATGCATCCCCTCTGCTATGTAGTCATAGCAGAGGTGGAGTGTTTGCTTCTCAGAGCTGCTCAGTGCCCTTCACTTCCAAGCCCTCTGGCTGGGGAGGGGCTTTGCTGCATTCACAAGGCGTCTATTTCTCCAGTTCATGTTACTTGTGCTTCCTAGGACATGAGATGTGATTTAGATCCATATTCAGAAAAAAAGCATTATTCGGATAATTGATCCAAAAATACTGTGTATTTCTTGGTTAGGAAAGTGTGATTTGGAAGAAACTGCTGTTTCTTCTGAATTTGGGAACTTTTTCATTTGGACCCCGTGTTTCCAGGTGGTGAAACTCTGAATAATAAGGGCATTTGTTGCTGCTCCTCCTTCTGTTTTCCTAAATTATTTTCATTCACCTAAACGAAGTATTGATGAACTTTGAGGCACTCTAAAGATTTCATCTTGTGATGTCCTAGGGTATCCTGCCTGTCCCAGGAGCTGTTCATAGCAGATTAATTAGCAGGCTCTGCTGTTTGCTGAGATTCAGGGACCTTTGTTTATCTGCAAAGATTAATTGCATCTCGTGGTCCCTCTGGGCACACACTCAGCTTCTTTTACCGGTGAAGCCTTTTTTCTTTTGTGATTAGTTTTATTTGATGCCATTGTGATTTATTGTGCTTTGTTGTCATTCATTGACTAGATTTTTATAGTTATTCTATTCAAAAAAACATAAAAACTTTAAAAACCTTAAAACCTGGGAATAAATAAATGAGATTTTGTCAGGAGTTTTAAAGACACCATCAGAAAAGTAACAGCACAGGAAAGGCAGGATTTTCAGAAGTGGAAGGAGGGGCCCTGCAGGGGTGGAGCACACAGGGTGGAGGTGTGTCCACCAGCCTCAGTGGTGTCTGCATGGAAACACTGCAGGCCTTTGGGAGGTGCGGCTGTAGGCACTGGTGCCGTTGGCTACTGAGCTGCCACCTCCTGTGGCTCAGTTCCTGATTCGTGCTCCCCAACAGTCCTCAGATTCTATGTCTGTTGTGGCAGCCAGTCTGCCTGGGAGGGAGGAGCAGTTTGGTTCCCAGCTGGTGGTGCCTCTTCTGAGTCTAGGAAGTTACACAGGAGCTCCTCTGGAGCTGCTGGCTGTGAGTGCCTAAGGGACCCAGAAGAAACAGCTTCTTGGGTTCAGGAGTGGGAGCCTTAGTTGCTGTCACCAAGGACATGTTCCGGACCATGGCCGCTGTCCCTGCCACTGCCTAGCATACCCTACTGGTTTTGGCCTCAACAGAAATTTTAGTCTGAAGTTGGGAGCATGAAAGATGTATATTTTTATCCAGTTTTTCCTTTAGAACCCTAGGGTGTGTAGGGTCACAACACCAGCTCCCCTATGCAGCTTCCAATCTTCCTGAGCCCCTCTCCCTGTGCCCCGCTTCTGTCCAACTCTTTCTCCTGGGCTCTCAAAGCTGTGATTCATTGTAAATGCACCCAGGATAGTGAGGTCTGGCCAGTCTCCCATTCATATGAATAAGTGTATGGCAAACAATAAAAAACAGTGACAAAGTGATATGGTGTATGATGGTCCAGGAAGGTCAGAGCTCTTGTGGCTAAGATAAAGACTTCTCTGAACTGTGCACAATTTATGTTGTACATAACATCAGGGGCATATGGAAAAGGACAGGGAATAGCTGAGGTAAAAGGGCATAAACGTGAGCAAGGCCATGTGAAGTTGGATCAAAGACACTCCACACAGTAAATTTTTGCTCAGTGGGCAAGCTGTTTGAGCTCTCAGGTTGGCAGTTACTGTGCTGGAATTCTGAGGGAGAGTCAGCATCCTAAGCTGCAGGGTTACCTTGTCTTCAGAGATGTCCCAGTGTCACAGGCCACTACAGGCCTCTACTATGACCTTTGGCATGGGGAGTTCTGTTTCTGTATGCCAGCTGCTGGCTACTCAGGCAAGTCATTTGGGCCTGGGACAGACTTATAAGTTAATATAGAAAGCCAGTTGATTAATTCTAAAGGCTGCTCAGCATCACCTCTGTGTGGTCCTTGTCACAAAGGGCTTCAGCTTTTGCACATGTGCTAGCTTCCTCCAGCACGCTCATCTCAGACTGGTGCAGCTTAGTGGGATGGAGGTTTATCATGTGCATACGATTCTTGGGCAGTTCACAAGCTGTGTATGTGCTTAACGTCTCGTTCCTTAATGAGTACTGACCTCACTTTGTTCTGCGATATGCAATGAGAAAGTAGTAAGCTGAACATTGATTTCATCTCTCTGATTATGATGTCCATGCCTTTTCTGTGAGCAGGTGAAAAAATAAATACATGGAAACAGGTGGGAGAAAGCTTCTTCGTTAGGCTGGTGAATGCCAGTGTCCAACACACACTTGCATCCCCATGATATTTGGTGGGTCCTGAATTCAGGAACATTCTTTTATTTGAAAGATAGGTTTGTGTGCAGTAGGTTAGGAATTACTTTTTGATTATTCGTTTTTACATGGTTTCTTTTATATTTGATGGTCTGTAAAAGCCTAAGGATAAAACCTTTTTCTCAGTGGGTATAATACAGATTCCTTTAGTCCCAGCAGATGTGTGCAGCTCTTGACCTGTGTAGTATGCCCTGTGTCAGAAAAAAGACTTGCAAAGCCTGTCCTTGGTAATAGAGACTGAGACCCTTGGAGAGAGCAGATAGCTACATCCCAAGTCTTCCGGCTGTACCCGGGAATCCAGCATGTTAAAATGTGTGTTTTAGATTGGACTTCAGTATATTTATTACAAAATCCTGTGTGCTGTAGAAAGCACAATAAAGCGTACATGTATCTGTTCTATAAAATGGAGTGGGTTGTTCCTGTGTCTGTGATAACATATGGTAAGTGCCGGACTAATGAACATGTGAGTTGTGAACTTTCACAGATACAAACGGACCTCACATTTGCTCTTTTTATGCTTTACATTGTGATAGTTTGCATCTCATATGTTTATAACTTGGGGACTTAGTGTATTTGTGTCATAGGGGTGTAAGATTCGCTTTGTCAGACGAATGAATCTGACTTATGAATGTTCTCTGAAAGGAGACTTGTAAGTGGGGGTCTTACTGTGATTGTAAAATAGTAAAGTGCAACTACTTATTGAATCTCTAGTTAGTTCTGGAGCAGCAAGTATGGACAGTCTCAGTCCTTGTTGTTAAGGTATTCATAGTCTTGGAAGGGAAATGGTAAACAAAAGATTAAAATAGCATGTTGAGATTATAAAAAGATAACTGTCTCACTAAGTTGCCCAGGCCTGGCTTGAACTTTAGATCCTCCTGCCTCAGCCTTGCAGAGTACAAGGATTATGGATATGTGGTGCCACTCCTGGCTCAAGATTCAATTTTGATTCAGGTTTTCTGGCCTTGTAAGCTGATCCTTTATTCAGAGTATCCACTCACAGTTTCTGTGTTCAGCCCCAACTTTTATCTGGTAACTGACGTGCCAGCATATGATACGAGTGCAGTGCGAGGGAAGGATGTCTCCTGGCATCTGTGGAGTGACAGCCTCTGGCTCAAGTGGCTTATTGTGTAGGGGGCCAGAGGTGTGCAGATGTGCAGGGAAACATGAGTGGCATCACGTGGCTGCTTACTAGAGCTGCTGGTGTCTCTGTGTCATCGCCGAGTTCCTTTACAGATGAACCTGGGCTCCGTCTTCCCCTGGCAGGACCGAGGAGCCGGGTTGGCAGGGGCAGAGCTCTGCATCTTCTGCAGTTCTGGGAGATACACAGGCAGTCCTATCTGTTTGCAGGAGGCTGTGGAAAAACGTTGGGGACCTCATCAGGTGGCAAGAAACCTCTGACTTTGCTGGAATGGTTAACTCAGCTCGTCTGGAGCATTCTTTGTGGTGCTTTTTTATTAGTTTTTATGATGTGCAATGTGTGATTATTTTCTCTGTGAAACCTAATGAGTAAAAATGGCTACAGAGGCGCCTATGGTAATTTATGTCCGTCCAGTTTGGGGTTGATTAAGTACCTTGGCTTTCGTTGTCAATATGAAAACCCATCTGGCTAGAAATCTGTGAGTATTAAAGTTCGTTCATGTCTAGAATAGAGTAAAAATGCCTAAATGATTTTCATTTCAAACATTTCCTATATGTTTATATCTTTACATTTCATATTTGGCCTTCATTTATCTCTGAAGAAGTTTATTACCTGCCCCTTTGTACTTCTTTTTTTCTGTTTGTATTTTCTCTTTACACATAGTAGGTGTGTGCCTAATTTTGTTAGAGGGTGAATTAGTGAAGGGTAAAGTGGAAGGATGGCAGTTTATGGGACTGATCTGGGTAGAGTCCATAGTTGTATTCACAGCCCTGTTAACGGTGAGCTCGTGGAGGATTGGCGCAGAAAGTATCTTACTTAGGCTCCATGGGAGATGGATAGCAAGCACTGGTAAATATTTGTGGAGTGAAGAAGCGTGTGAGTGTTGGTTCTGGGAGTGTTGGCAGCAGAGACTTCATTATGTCTGGATTCTGGTGGTTAAAGATGTTCAGCAAATCCAGTCCTTTGGTCTGCAGTAAACACCACCACAGCTGTGTGGTTCTCCCCGTAGAGCCCTCCTCTCAGTGACTGCTGTGTGTGCATGACGCAACTCTGGAGAGTGTGCCTGTTGGCAGACACGCGGCAGTGGCAGTAGGATATGTTGGGGCAGAAGTTGTGATGCCTTTCCTCACTGTTTTCCTAAGGGTCACAACACATCGTTTACAAGGGAGAAAAGCATGACACATTTGTTTAGCAACAGACAATTTTCTCCTGAACTTGGCAAGAGAAATTTTACTTTCCTCACCTGGCAGCACTCCAGGCCAGCACCAGGAGGGTTGACATGGGCACAAAACACTCTTCCTTCTCTGTGGTGGCCAAGTGCCATGCTCCAGAGTATCCTGTCCGAGCCCTAGCAAATGCCGAGAAGCGACATGGTGGGCTTCCTAGCCAATGAAGACCGCACCCCTTGCTTTCTCGAGATGAATATTCTTCAGCTTATTCCTCAGAATCCCTTGGGAAATTCCAGTGTGATCAGCATGTCTTATGCAAGGCTTTGTCATCGTCATTTTGTTGTTGTTGGAGAGGAATCAGGTGTAGGGTTTTGCCCATACTGCCCACGTGCTCCAGAATGGAAGCAGGGCATGCCCTGGCATCATGGATGATCACGGTCCCTGCAGGGCCAGTCAGAGGTCTCAAAAATTAGTTCGAAAGAGCCTCGAAAATGATCAAGTAAGAGACCAATTTAGTTGATTGTTTTCTTTAACATGTACCTTATTGGATTCTAATTCTTTGAAACTTCATCCATCTTTTTTGGTTTCTAAGCCAGAGTGTCTCATTTCTTCCTTTGGCAGATAAATTGCCTTTTATTGAAACCTTTTCTCTGAAAAAGTTTGAAGATTATGTCTCTATTCTTGGAGCCAGTGCTAAGTGAACTACAGTAGTGAAGATCAGGAAGTTCTTTTAGTCTATGGGAAGAAATGGATTTTCTAATGTTCCAAAGCATGAGCCACTAATAAATTGATAATAAAATAGGTACACTTTAGATGTACCTATTAGATGACAAGACATTAGATGACAAGACATTTTGGTTGACTTGTTTTGTGGTTGTTGTTGTTGTTGTTTTTGAGACAGGGTCTTACTATACAGTTTAGGCTGGCCTTGAGCTCACTTCGTAGCCCAGGCTGGTCTTGAAATAGTAGCGATTTCCTGCTTCAGTGTCCCGAGTGCTGGGATTACAGGCATGCATCATGTTGACTTGTTTAGCAACATGTTTAAAGTGTATTTCTTTTTATAACATGTTAAATTTTTAGTTTACAGTAATTGTACATATGTATAGGGTACATAGGGTGTGGTGTGATATTTCAGTACATGTGTGCGGGGTATAATGATCAAATTTGGATGATTAGCCTATCTCAGCTCCCTGAATATTTGTCAATTGTGTCGAGAACCTTTGAATTCCTCTCTTGTAGTTCTTTATAAAATATGTAATAAGTTGTTGAAGTACAGTTGCCCTATTGGTGACCCTTTTTTCTGTTTTTTTGTTGTTGCTGCTGTTGTTTTCTTTTTAGAGTTAAGATTTCAACTGAATATTGAAGCGGTTTTTTACTGGTCTTCCCTCATACTATTGTACCTCTGGAGATTAAGTAAGGGACGTTAAGCCCAGGGGTGTCTGGCAGTGGTTTACCCTCAATTACTTTACAAAATTGGAGAGATATTGTCATACCTTTGTTTTTTTTTAAAGGTGAATATAACCCTATGTTGTACAAGATTAATGAATTCAATTTGAAGAGTGTGTGTTATGTGTTTCTACCAAGTAAAGCTTTAGTCATAGAGAGTTGCTAGCAGGTGAAATGGAAGTTGGTGCTTTCAGGCTCAGTGCCATGAAAATCAAAGTGTACAGGGGTTGCTCAGTTTACAAGGAGCTGAGCTTGGTGTGCATAGCCAGTGTGGTTCATAGCAGCACAGCTGCCTCCTGCTGGGGTGTGTGTGTGTGTGTGTGTGTGTGTGTGTGTTTGTATAGAATAAATTCTTCCTGCATCTTGCTTTCATTTGTATTAATTGTATACTTTTGAATTTATTGTTTTTATGCATGCTATTTTCTTCCTAAAATTGAGTTGTAATCCCTGCCTCTTGAAAATTTTAAGTGTGAAAATGGTTGCTTTTCCAGACTGCTATAAGTGAGGAAGATTTCAGTTGTAAGGTAGAGATCAAGGGAATCTGTCATCTCTACATCCTGTTATTTAAAAAATTCCATAGCTTTTAATGATTTTGCACACTTTTCTTATTTAGCTGACCCAAGAAGTCATTGCATATTTTCATATTTAGCCAGGCTATGATGACCTTAATCCGGATTGGAGGCTCTCTACTGAGAAGAGAAAAAAAATAAAAGGTGAGTTGTAAGAAATATGATTATTAAAACCTTAGGGAATTCCTCTTATTATGCAAGGTGTCCTACAGATGGTATAAAAAGTCTCAAGATACTTTTGCTTCACTTTGGAAGAAGAAACTAGAATTCATAGGACCAGAACAAGGACTAGAGCCAGGGTTCTGATGTTAGGGCTTTCCTAAGGCTGAAGCTAAGGCAGACCCCATGGGGCCAGCCCTGAGATGGCACATGGAGTTCAGAACTCAGGGTACATGCCCAGGAGAGCTAGCTGCAAGAGAGTCATCACAGGAAACCTGCTGCAGTTCTCTCAGTGTGGGAGGAGGTTAGGGTTCGGTGGATGAGCGGAGTTTTTAAAAATACATCTTCATGTGTGAAGTAATTAACTTTCAAAATACACTGATTTTATTTTTATGTATAGGAAAAATATTTACATTTAAATAAAGTAATTACCATTTAATTAGGTAAAACCAATAAATAAAAATTTAACTGTTACAAAGGGTTACTTTGAGTTTTTTAATTTTCTACTTTTGATGAAGGATCATTTTTCTTTTGTGTTTCTCCCCTCTCCTCCCTTCTCTTGGTGCTAGGGATCAAATCCCAGCCCTGTGCATGCTAGGAAATCTCTGTACTGCTGAGCCACACCCGCAGCCCCAGGATCATGTTATTTCAGGTGAAACCATCAAATTTAAATATCCCTGAGTTTTTAGGTGTCTCCTATGAAATCAGTGATAGTCACAAATTTCAAAATATATACTATACTTTTAAATTTACATTTTAAAATCACTGGAAATATTGATTACTATCATGTATATGAGGTTTCATACTTTGAATTATCTACTTTTATTAAATGATCATCCAAAATATTCAGAAAGACTTTTGAGGAGCCAGGGATACAGCTTAGTGGCACAGTACCTGCCTGGCAAGTGCAAAGTCCTAAGTTTGATTCCTAGTGCAAAAAAAAAAAAGACTTTTGAGGAAAAGTAATAATTTCTCAAACTATAAGCTTGAATGTGATTTAAATGACTCTCCTCTTCCATTCTAACATGTTTTATTTTTTTCCCTGAAACATGTTCTTGAAACTTCTTGAAGTTCCTTACTTATATAAATTGGCTATGGCTTCTTTTGGGAGAAAATGGTGTTATGATGTTTGTTTTTATTAAAATAATGAGTTATTTTCATGGTGCTGAGCTCCTGTGCAAAAACATCTTTCTCTTTAGTTTAAATATGTTTTAAAATTTGCAGCTTATTATATGCATTGCCTGTAAACCTTTATGTACTGTGTGG